TCCTCAATCAGCACCTGCCTTCATGTAGCCCGATCCGACCCAAGGATCATTTTCGCTTCCGCGACCGGCAGTAATGGCGATCTTGCCTGTGAAAGAACCCGGGCTTCTAGTGGCACGGGGGAATAAGAAATCCTTCCTTGACTAGTGCCCCCGTAAGATCGATGACGACCTCCAACGACTGACCCCTGGCCCGCTTTGCAGCCCCTTTAGACATCGGGGATCGAATGCTTTATGGAGATGACGAGGATCCCCTTCCTCCCTGGTCCGCTACACCCTGTTGGGCCACCTAGGTGACCCTGCTCTTCCCAGCTTTGGCCGTGGCTCTAGAGGTCGCGGTTTCCTCACTCTCTCCTCGACAAACGACATGTTCCTTGCAAAAACAAAATAAAGAAGTCAGCAAACGAACAAAAACAACAGTAACGTTGGGCAGAGGAAGTCGACCACCACCTAGAAAATGAAGGGCCTCCTCGTCAGACGAGCACTTAAGCAGAGCTTTCGTGCTAATCAACCTCCTCCTCTGACAAATACGCCCCTGGCCATCGAGGATGTAGTTACCATCGGGCGTCACCAGTCGAGACGGGGGTAAGCTATTCACAAAGGATACTATCTTTTGGTAGCCCGCCAAATCCTCCTCGTCCAGGGTCCCTGCCCGCACTATGTACTGGTCTGTGCCCTTCGTAAAATGTTCCTCCGTCCACTCTAAAGGCACTGATCGGTGGATTTCAATTGTGTTTTCAAACGCTGTTTATGGTTAATTTCGCAATGTTTTTATCTGTTTTTCGAAGCTTTAGTTGTTATTATCTACATTACTCGTAGTTGTGTGTCTTCGAGTCTTATTTTTAAGTTTATATTACTTTTGCTGCTGGTGCGTTTGATTTGGTTTCGTTTAGTGTGTTTTTGGCAGGAATGGATAGCACGACAATCGCACTGATTTCGGAGGCAAAGAAAAGTCGGAAAAGGGAAGTCAGAGCTACAACACGGGTACCCGTGTTGCACAACACGGCCCGTGTCATGGAGGACACGGTTGGCAGACACGGGTAGACCAAAGCAGAAGAAAAGAAGACTCAGACTTACAACACGGGTGCCCGTGTCATGCAACACGGCCCGTGTTGCAGCCCTTGAAGAGGAGACACGCCCTAAGAAGTCAGCAGCCTGACACGGCCACCCGTGTTGCACAACACGGCCCGTGTCAGGGCCACTGAAAGTGAAATTTTTATGTTTTCTGATTTTTGCTGTCAGACCTATTTCGAAGGGCATTTGAGACATTTTCGCGATGTAATTTGAATTTAGATATAAGAGGCACATTTTAGAAAAGAGGGGACACTTTTGAACTGAAATTAGGATTGACAACTGAGAGGAGAGTTCGGCTGGAAACAGAGGATCGATCAAAAGCGGAAGCAATTGATGATCCAAGGATTTCAACTTGCATTGTAATGATCTTCTCCTTTTCATTTCTAATTGCTTTTATGTTTACCAAGAACATGAGCAGCTAAACCCCAAGTTGTTAGGGGGTGGTCCTAAGTGCGATGTAATGACTTTTGTTTAATGATTCTATGAGAACTATGTTATTACCTTTATATATTTTATTTTGCATTAATCTTAATCGTATTCATATTGGAAAGTAGAATTCGAATCGTGCTTAGGCTTTAGTCTGGAAAGTCAACCTAACACTTTTGCAAAATAGTATCACGGTCGATATTGCTTAGGAATGAGGATATCCCGTATCACGTATTTTATGGTCGGAACTATTGCTTGATGCTTTTCATGGACACTGAGGAATTAGTGTACAGGAAAATCATCAAAGGGTTTTCATTAAGGAATTAAGACAACTAAAGTGGCCATCTGATAAATTAAGGTTAATAACTAGTATAGCAGAAGAATCATACAGGGTCTTTACTCGTATCGTCTCCACTCCCCTAACACTGTTCTTAGATTGATCCATAAGTCCTTATTTACTTGTTCTATTACTCTGCTACCAAACAAACCACTAGACCTTTTGTTCATTTGAATCCTAAAAATTCCGTTAATTACTACGCAGTCCTCGAGATCGATACTTGGGATTTTTCCCTTATTACTACAATTGGTAAAAATAGTACACTTGCTATTTTCCCGATCAGGCACCCTCGGCACCATAACGTCCTTGCGCTTCCCGTCCACTACTCGTTCTTCTCGCTGAAACAACGAAGCACACGCCGCGTGAGATACTGGCCGAACAACGAAGAAACGCGCCTTGAAATCTCGGACAAAATCCATATAAGTCCGGAAAAGCTTCCTCGTTTGCTTCAACGAAACCCATCTGTGTTGACCATCGATCGTTTGCCTTTGTAGATGGAAGAGCCGAAAGAAAAGCGATAAGGTAGCCCCGACTTCCAGATGCCTGCAAACGAGCTCGTACGCCCGGATGAAAGTTATCGCGTAGGATGCAGTTGTAAGGAGCTAACCTCAACCATTCGAGGACCCCCAAATGGAAATTCGTGAAGGGCAACCTGAGACCGGCCTCCCAAAAACAAAACTCGTACATAGGGAATCACATTTTCCTATATCTCGAGCAGATACAGTGATGCTCGCGGGGTCGATATATCTGCCAGCTTATAGGTGTATCCGTGCACCTGTCCTCGACGGTCGCGAAAGCACCGGTCTCCTCGTCGGCGAAATACGAAGGCGTGCTCAGCGGCTCTTCAGCTAACCATTCTTCGACCGGTCGTACTCGTACTTCGGCGGCCGGAGCCTCGAGCTCCACATCAACGTCCATGGTCCCCGAGACCCATGAAGTCATATCCACCTGAAAAGCAGAAGAAAACGATGAATTCGATGTCCGAGATCAAATTTACCCTTCCACCGCAGGTCAAGTGAAAGGGCGACGGGGACAGCAACCACGACGACAACGGAGGCCACCCAGGCATCTCTCCCTGGGTGATTCATCCAACATCCGTCATTGCCCCCGGGACGTGCATCTAACTCTATCGTGCGTCCCTGGGATACCCATCTGAAACCAATGCCTGTCCCCGGGGCGTTCACTCTACCCCATAGAACGTCCTAGGGATCCTCACCCTAAACCTAAAAAACCACCGCCGAATGCGGCGGAGGGCCCTCTCCTTCCTCGAGGCATTCATCACGCCCTGACACAAGCGTTAAAGTTTAAAACATGAAAAATATGGGGAAAAAGGAACTTACTGAATTAAATGTGACAGCGGAGTACGCGGCGGCGGTGCTAGCGAACAGATGCAAGCAATTCAATCGTCACGTATAGAAGAGAGCGGAAACGAAAAATGGTAAATGGGCAGGGGCTTGCCTACTTATACCCTTAGCACGAGACTTGAAGCCTCCCTAGGCACTCGAGTACCCTAGGGTAGCCGCCTCGCGTGGCCCACTAAACGTTCGACACGTGGCACTGAAAAACAGTCGCGTCTCTTTGTCCTCCCTGCAAGCGCTGGCAGACGAGGAGACCTCCTCGCTCCTCGCCCCAACACATCGGACCCTCGAAGATCCTCCTCGCGCCTTCTCCTTCCTCGGCGCGGCACCATCAAGTCCTCGCTCCTTCACTTTAGAGCTACGACTTGGGGGGCTCTTGTTCTAGGGTAGGCTCAGGCTTGACCGGACAGGCCCAATCCAAAGATATACGGGGAAGGCCCAAATAGGCCCAAATTGCCCTATGTCGAGCATAGGTGTTCCCGTCGACCAAGACGCTCCCTCCGTCAGGCAGGACGCTTCCTTCGTCGGGCAGAACAACGTATCCTCCACACGTTCTCTACGTGCTCCCCTCCGCGGGGACACGTCATCAGCCAACTACCCACCTTCGAAAGAGCTGGTCAACCCACCTTCCGGAGATCACGAGACGGTTGAACTAGGGTGAAGACTACGTGCTGGTCTTCACTACACCGGGTAAGCCCTAGCAGTCACCTGGGTTGAGTCTGACAATCCAGCCCAACACAAGTGACCGTTGGCCCTGCGCTGAGGTCTCTTTATAAATTCCCTCTTTCACTAGAGGGTCAGGTATTCTCTTCTTAACCTCTCTTCTATATTTGCTTCCACTCTGGTCCATCACTTACTTTGACATCGGAGTGTCTTGCAGGTACACCCCCTCCTCGTCCATAGTCCTTGTGAGCAGCTAGCAGATCAACGACATGTGGTAGATCACTGTTCCCCTTCTGGTCAGGTCAGATCACAAATTATCAAAACAAAATGAAAACTGGTTTTTTAAGATATATCATGATGGTTAATATTGAAAGTCGCAAATATTATTGACGATTTTAAACTACTCAGAGACTATAACTACTCGGAGACTATAAAAGTTAAATTTTAAGATGTTTTTAAATCATATTTTTAAAAAAAATTAATTTTCAACCTTATAATTATCACCATTTAAATATTTTATGTACATTATAATTTGAATATTTGATTTATAAATTATAGTTTAGTTTCTTAGTCACCCCAAACTTTGTAGTCTTGGTTTATATCCGGCCAAGGTGATCTAACCACTCTATTGATGAATGTATAAAATATTTCTACGAAGGTTCTATAACTATAAGTCTTGACATTTTTTCTCATGACCAACTCATCCAAACCAATTACTATAAAAAAATTGGTCTTTTATTCTTCACTTCATATCACTTCTAGAAAGACCACGATGTATCCCTTCAAGTACGTTATGTCTTGATTCCTTCAAAACTCATTTATCTTAATTTATTACTTCAATTATCCATTTTCCATTTTTCAATCATACACTTCAACTAAATTCAACCCATACCCATTAAATATCTAGTCAACGCTTGTTTCCAACTGTGCTTATTGGTGTAAACGCGCTTTGGAATGTATCAACCATAGACTATGACTCATTAAAACTTTAGCTTAAAACTCAAGACTCTTAGCCCTCAAATATCATAATCAACCATTTGAAAATTCTCTCACATTGACATAATAATGGATCATACACCAAAAAAAGACTATAATAGTATTAGTATATGTAAGTGGCAAAATAACCATAACAAAAGCACACAAAAATGGCACATACACATAGAGAACAATTCAAACCCTTAGCACCAAATTTCATATCATTAACAACTCATTATAGAAGCCCTAGTGCAGAAAACCAACACCAACATTTATCAGAACACAAAACAAAACGCATCAAAACGTGCATCAAATGCTGTGGATGCATCACCGCAATTCTCTTGTTACTCTTTGTAATACTCATAGTTCTAGCTTTCACAGTCTACAACGTTAAAGATCCTGAAGTGAGGATGATCGGTGTTAAACTAATCCGCGGAAACTTCACCGTTTCGAATACCGTTACGATTCTCGCTGATATGTCTGTGAAGAATACAAACTCGTTCACTCTCAGGTATGGAGTGGTTAACACCACTGTTTATTACGACGGAACTGAGATCGGAGGAGGTGTATCGCCACCGGGGAAAGCGAAAGCGCAGAGAACGGGGAGGTTTAACGTGACGTTGGAGATTATGGCGAAAAAGCTTGTGGATAAACCGGAATGGAATGTGGATATTAGAGATCAAGGGTTGAATTTTAGCACTTATACAAAGATGAGTGGGAAGGTGAGAATATTGAATCTGTTTAAGAGGAATGTTAGGGTTGAGTTGAATTGTACTAGTCAATATAATATCACCACTGGTTTGATTTCACATGGTGATAATTGTGTTGGGTTTGTTAGTATTTAGATTTTAGTTACTTGAGGATTCAATTCTGGTAACTAGTATTTGTGAGAACTTTATTTAATGGCAAAGATAATAGCAGAGAAAGGATAGTAAATTCGAACTCGTACTTGATCTTAGACACATACACGATAATATTTGCGATTGTATTATACTTCATTTGATCAGTATTTTAAGCAAAAATCTAAAGAGTAAGTTTTTAATTATAATAGTCACTAAAGTGTATAGTAGTATCTTATAGATATAATATAATAAAGTTTGTTTTGGGAGTTGGTTTTTGAAAAGTTTTGAAAGATAAGGGTTGTGTTTATATTTTAAATGTGTTTGATATTTTAAATTTTTTTAAAAATAATACAATTTTATATGCTAATTGAGATTTTTTTTTTAAATATCAAATATATTTAAAGATATATAGGCGCAACCATTCAAAGTCTTTCTCTCTAAAACTATTTAAAAATCAATTTTGAAAAGGATCTTAAAATAATCATGTTTTTGCATGTTGTTAAGTGTTTCATATACAAACTTTTTTTTTTACTAAAAACACAGTGTATTTGTTTCATATTTACTTGTGCCGTGAAAAATTTCATGTTCAATTAAATATTTGCACTACTACAAAACGCGCGAACAACAACATCAAGTTTATAATGAATTCATATACATCTTTGTAATATGTTAAAATTTTCACATCCAGTGAGTAGCTGAATTTATAAACAGTAATTTAATGACAGTTGTCTTAAAAAACTGTAATAATAAATGATGTGTAGCAAGCTTCGAGTCCCAACAACTATATTTTTTCCATTTTTTAGAGTACATTAAGCGTGTGCCACTTAAGTCCATTATTTAAAAAATAAATTGTAAATGATTTTACAAATGTGAAGTAAACCAACCGTTGTTAAATGGTATTAAGCATGTGTCACTTAAGTCCATTATTTAAAAAATAAATTGTAAATGGTTTTAGAAAGGTGAAGTAAATTGTAACACCCTTCTAAATCCCACGAGAAATATAAGCATAATCAAAGTAAAAGTAACATGCATTCACAAAGGGTGTCACACATATACTACCAAATTACTAAAAACCACCTGTCATGCTTGAAAACACTGAAATAAATAATCATACTTTACAAAATTCCATTTGCATGTAACAGCAGATTCATTTACATCACATAATTTTTCATAAAAGAAATATTTGCATTTATCACATAAATCATCATCACTTAGGCACTGAGGCCAACAACACAAAATACATCCGAAACGTAACCCAAACAATTCCAGTGTTACACGACCAGAGCACGACTCGACCCAATACAATTAAATCACTAAACAGCTACTCTAATAGCGACCTCGCAACTACGAGCAGTACTACACCTTGATAACTGCACGATGTCACGAAGGACATCATTCCAGCAGAAGGGTGAGAAATATTATCATAATAACAATGCATATAATTATGCATAAATGCACAAGCACAGAATACATATATTCCACATTTCTTCACCACAATACATTATAAACGTTATATATGTCACAACATACGTTTACCTAATTAAGCACATTCACCAATTCATATAAACACACGCAACATGTTTATTCCACCAATGCATCATATAAGGATATGATAATGCAACTCATAAAGACCAGCTTACGACTTTATGCAGATGCAAATGCGGTATCGACTCATTCAGCAGGTTCATTTGAAGAACCAAAGGAACCATCGCTCGTTACCGAAGTAACTCCCCGTCGGTCCTATGATGTTCACCCATCACTCACACCCCACAAGGGCACACAATCGTTCTGCAGATTCTCCATGGAATCAAATATAAACTATCGCTCACACCCCACAAGGGCACACAATCGTTTCTGCAGATCCTCCTAGGGATCAAGAATAAACCATCGCTCACACTCCACAAGGGCACACGACGTTTCTGTAGATCATCCACGGGATCAAGACACAAGAATGCAATCATGATGCTTCATATGCAAAACGACTCCACACACTCTTGAAATTCATACAAATTTACAAATATATATAATTACGCATTACACCTCACACAAGTACGTACAATCATACACATAATTGCCAAACGGCCACATCTCACACTTTCATACAACAATCACATACACATACAATATGACTCATACAAATTCAACAACTCTCACCAATCCTCATTTGGATTATGGGTACACCGCTCATACCCCACCAGGAACAACTCCACAATTATTCTACCCCGGTGATCACTACACTAGGAACGACACATTGTCATTCTACCCTAGTGAGTAAGAATCTCGCACGTTTATATATTCTCAACATTAATATCACATTACCACGCAATGCACATATATATATACACCACATACACATATATTCTCATGCATACTTTGTAAGTACAGAGTATGCCTAAGAGGGGGGTGAATTAGGCTTTATGGACTTTTTCCGGTTTTTCGGTATTCTTGAATTTTCCTTGGTTATGATTGTTGGTGATGAAAGCGTTATAATGCAGAAAGTAAAAGAATACAGAGAATTAGAGTGGTTCCCCTCACAATCCGAGAGTACTCCACTCCCCTTTCAACATGAAAGAGAATTTCACTATCAATGTTAGATTTCTACACAAGACAGTCCTAACAACCAAGAACAATCCTCTTGGATTTACAATATTTTAAGTCCTACCGAGAATAAATATCTCACACAAGGACCTCTTGTATCCACAATCCGGATCACAAGGAAAACCCTACAAACTTATCTTTTATAATTCTAAGAATAAGTTGTAGTCAATATGAATTTGAATATAAGTACAATTTGAATGTATATCAATATGAAATATTGATCTTCTTCTTGAAACAAAGATTACTCAGAATTTATACAAGTGTTCTTTTGTGTGAAAGCAAGCTGTAAAGATATGAAAGTGTATTTCAATGGCTTCTTTCAAAAATTCTGGTTTTGTACACTTTGTGAAAATTCAAAAGGTTGAAGAAAGAGTAATTTTGAAATTTGTTTCTTGAAGGTTGTTTTGAAATTGAAATTGAAATCAATTTATACTGATCAAAAACCTTTCCAAAAAGGTGTATTTTTGGGATATCAAAAATAGACAGTAAGAAATTTTAGAACAATGTGCTATTTCATGAAAAGCTACTATTTTTGGTTGTTGTTACAGTGTTAATCGGTTAACCATATAGGTTAATCGGTTAACACCTTTTCAACGGCAAAATATTCAAATTTTTCATGTGTTAATCGGTTAACCTATATGGTTAATCGGTTAACACTGTTAGAAATCCCAAAAATACAATTTTAACTTGTGTTAATTGGTTAACCTATATGGTTAATCGGTTAACACTGAAGGTTTTTCCAAAAACACTTAATTTTAAAATAACAAGAGTATTTTAAAAGAGTTTAAAAAGGTTTTGTGTTAGTGGTGAAGTGAAGTGAGATTAAAGAACACTTGCATACATAATTCTAAGTAAGCAATGTTATACCGTGTCTTGAATCTTCAACACCACTTGAAATTTTGAAAGATGAAACTTTGATCCATAGCGATGTATGCGATCTTGTGATGTTCTTGATAATTTATTCTTGTTGATATGTTTGCACCTCTTGCTTTTTATGGAGAGATTAAGATAGAGAAGCTTCTGATTTTATCTTCAGTGTATATACCCCCACGGTTATATAGTGTAAGCAGCTTCAATAAGCATATACCCCCACGGGTATATAGTGAAAGTATCTTGCTTGCCAAACTTGTATGAGTTGTCTTCATCAAAACATAGACGGCTTTGAATCTTGATTCCATAATCTCCCCCTTTTTGATGATGACAACCATTTCTTTGGAAAAAAAACGCTTTTATACTTGGTTCGTAGCATTTCTCCCCCTAAGTTGAATCTCCCCCTAAATACAAGAGAGGTAACACTTTTGCTACAAGGAAAATGTTAGAACCACACTCCTTCTCCCGCTTTGTCATTAGCAAAAAGGAAGAGGGACATGAAAGAAAAACAGCACACAAGCATGCAACAATAATCATACATGATTGTCGCTACTTCGAAAATCGGCGCCGGCTGACAGAAGAGTCGCCACCGTGCGTTATTTATCCCAAAGGAGGGAAAGGAAACGCTCGAAGTAAACCCAACGCAAAGACGGGAAAAGGTATGGTCATCGCAACCAAAACCTGGATTCGGGAGTCGGTTACGCAAGGGGAAGGTATTAGCACCCCTCACGTCCATCGTACTCGATGGGATCCACGCTTGTTTGTTTGTACGGATTACACTTCTATCTAAACTAAAGGATGAGGTCTGAAAAGAAAAGAAAACATGACTCGGCAAAGCATCGCACTTTATGCCTACGTATTCCCGTCTGGAACGAGAAATCAGAGTCAACGTAGTTCGCCTAACTACGGGTGAAGGTGGGTGAAGGTCGCTCGCTAGGATATCGCATCCTATGCCTACGTACTTCCACACTGCATGGAAGATCAGAGCAAACGTAGTTCGGGCTACGCACGACACAAGCTGTTCAAGTGTCTTTTATGAAAAATATTACCTTAAACAAGGGTTTTCTTATTGCAAAAGGGTTGATGTTTGTTCAAATCTTTTGACGAAAGAAATGAATTGATTTTGTTATAACCTTTATTAATGTTTTTCTGTTGTTTTGAAGAAAGAAGAGATGACACTCTAAAATCCTAGGGTTAAAAAGGGAATAAAATCTACCCTAATGTTATCATACATGGGTTAGCTCCTAATGTCTATCACATCCTCCCTTGAACAAGGAAGAATGGAAGTCCTACGGGAAAGGAAAACGAAAGGAAGAAACGGAAATACAAGTAATAACCGCATACAAGTGAACATGAATATAGCAATGGTAAATGCAATGCAAAGGAGGGAGGAAGGTTCATCTCAACCTCAAGCCCATTCATGGATGGAATAAGAAAATATCAAGTGATCATATGCAAAGAATCGAGTGAAAACTCCGAATGAAACGCGTAATCCACTATTTGGAATCGCAACGTGCTATCATGCAAACAAGTCA